TCAGTGGAGGTAAATTTTCAACTGAGTACCTTTCCATGTTTACTGGTCATCTAGAGACACGTTTCATGAAGTGATGTTTTTTACCCATATTTCTGTTTTTATTTTTTAATTATTTTTGGGAATCTTTATAAATTCTAGAGAGGAACAAAGCAGATGTATTTCTATGGTAGAAATGAATGCATCTGCTTGCTAATGTTAGAGTATCACTAACTCCTCTTACTGTGGCCCCACGTTCACTAATGAATCCTCCTAGGAGATAATGTAGACAACTTCATTCATTCTGTCTAAACAACATGCCAAGTCTCTGTGCCAGGAAATTCACTAGATATTGGACATTTAATGAGGAACAAAAAAGTAACAGAGCACTGCTTTGGATTAAGAAACCTGTATTGGAATCCTGCCTCTAACATTCAAGAGCCTCTTGACTTTAGCCAACTTTTAAACCTATTTTAGTCTCAATTTCCTCAATGGAAAAATGGGATTAATAATCCCTCTTTTATAGTATTGCTGTGGGATTTAAGTGAGACAATACACGAGGGTGCTTCAAAAAGTTAGTGGGAAAATGCAATAAAATATATTTATTTTGGTGCTAAAAAATTTTGAAATCAATCCATACAAGAGGTGTTCAAAAAGCTCATGGAAAATCTATATTATGAAAAACTATGCAGATTTTAAATTTTTTTGCACCCAAATAAGCTTATTTTTAAATTCTACTTTCCTTGAACTTTCTCAAATACTCTCCTATATAACAGGCTTTGCACAATGGCTGACACACAGGAAGCACATAATAATATTAGTGATTACAAGTCTGGTTATTTCCATGTCTGTAAGAAAAAAAAAAAAAAAGAACACAGTTGTCTGTTCCTGTCTCAGCTATTATAGTTCTCACTATAAAATAAAAGAGACATCAGGATTTAGCTAAATTTCTGGGAATTTGGTCCTTCTGATTCCATTCATCTGAATGCTTCCAAAGCAGTGCTTCAAAAATTACCTGTGATTAAACATAATAGACACTTTCATAAAACATACTGAAAAATTACTAGAAAAGGTAAATTAAATATCAAAGACACTTAAGTAAAATAAAATCCCCCGATTTTTATTAAAGTCACACACATAAAATTAATGTTAGACTGCTAAATTCTTACTGTCATTTTCTATAAATGCCCTATGATGGGCTAGTTTTTGGAATCCACAAGTCAAAGCAATCCTGAGTTACCTGCTGGCCACTTAGTGGTCTCTTTCTAGACATAAGCATGATGTTCTAACACTCCCCTGCTCAAAAATCATCCACCGCTACCCTTGTCTCTAGGGTAAAATCCCAGCCTTCTAATCTGACACCTCAGGCCTTCAGTCTACTTCCAAACAACTTTTAAGTCTGACCTTCTACTATCATCCTCTGTTCCACTAGGCTGCACTCCCCCCCATCCCATTGGTGGCAAGGAAATGTGGCTAGTGTAGGAATTAAAATGTTAATCTCAGCTTCAATTAAAAATCACATCAGAGCACCTGGGTTTGATTTCTGACTCCACCTTCCTGCTAATGTAGACGGGCATGAAGTGGTGACAGCTCAAGTAGTTGGGTTCCTGCCACCTACAGGACCGTGTTCCCAGCTCCCCACTTCGGCCTAGTCCTGCCTAGTGTGAGCTTTTGGGGATTGGACCAGCAGATGGGAGCTCCTTCTCAAAAAATTTAAATTTAGGGGTAAGCTTTTGGCCTACTTTTTAAGACAATGCTTGGGATACCAGCCAGGAACCGCAGGGGTCTCCCACGTGGGCAGTAGGAACCCAGGTACCTGAGTACCTGTGGCCTCCCAGGATGCACATTAACATGAAGCTGGATTTGAAGTGAAGGAGCTGGATTTACGCCAGGCACTCTGATAAGGGTAGTGGATGCCTCCAATGGTGACTTAACCGCTGTGCTGAAAGCCAGCCTCTCTTCCCTTAGTTCTAATTGCTGCAGACATCACCATCCTCCAGCTGCTCCGCTGACACACAGAGAAATCACCTTTGCCAGCCCCCTGTAAGTCAATTCCTTGTTCAGTCAACCAAATTTCCAAACCCAGCAACCACTCTGGCCATTCTCCCCCCCCTATTTGCCACTACCTCAGGCCAAGTACTGTTTTCTTCAAACAGCTCTCCTGGCCTTGGATTTCTGCTTAACAGCTATCCCCCTACAATGCAGCTCTGACCTCCTGACACTGGTAGTGAAACATCTTTCAAAGACTTTTCCTGGCCTTCTCTAGACCTCTAGAAGGTCATTTCCAGGCGCTCCCGAGGCAACAATGTATTCCTCACCTAACCATCTTCGTGTCTGCCTACAGCCTTTCTACCTACTGCTGCCTTCATCTGGAAAGATCCCCCAATTTCTTTATGAGAGAAGTTGCTCCTCCCATGCCATTCCATGACTCCTGCCCTGGTCAGGAAGGAGTTATTCCTTGCATTACTGATGATGCCCACTTACTGTCTGCATCCTAAGAACAACAAGAGGCAAGATTCTATGGTTTTCCTACCTGAGTGTTACATCAAATACACTCAATGTTAAAGAAAAGCATGACATCACCATTTTGGCAAATTTCTACCAACAGAAGCAATGCAAAATATTAACGTAAAATGGACTATGGCTCCCATGCCACTTATTTTTCTTCTACTTTAAACACAAAACTTTAATAAGTTACACAAAGGTTACAAATCTTTACTACATCACTATTACAAAAGGGTAAGTGGAAAAAGATTGCTCATCTTGAGGCCACACAAAAATCAGTGGACAATGTGGATTTCAACCAAGCTTCTCGACCTGGATAAAAATTCCTGGATCAGAACTCTTCGGTGCTGTCTCTGAGATTCGCACTCCTGCCTACAGAATGGCAAAAGCTGCGGGGTGATTAAGTAGGTTGGGAAAGCCATTCCTAGGCAAAGAACGGTGTGTTGGATTCCTTAGCAAATCACATGTAAACTATTAAACTCCTAAGCCTCTTTTTTGCAAATCACCATCTCCAAATAAACTTATGCGACTTTCATAATACAACACACCAAAAAAAAAAAAAAAATCATCCCAGTCACGGAAAAACACATCTCTACCTCATAGTAGGTGACATTAATGCAAAGGGACGCGGTGGGCACTTATTAAGGTCTCCGGAGGTCTGAGGCACCACTAGAAAGAAAGAATAAAAACAGCTGTAGAAATATGGACATCTTTGGCCATCAACGTGACGGCTCCGTTCACGCGACGTGGAAACGAATCCCCTTCGTCCCTAGGACTCGGTACCTCCACCGCGACTCGAGTTCCAGTCTGCCCGGGACACTCTACAGCAACTTGACGGTAAACGCTAACCTCCCGGCCGCCCTTCCGTCTCCCAGCACTCTGGTCGGCGGTTCAGCGGGGAAGCTGAACAGCCAACGAAGCCGCAGTTTCCGGCTCCGCAGAGACACGAAGCGCAGCTCCCGCACCTCGGTGCGCTCAGCGCCCAACACACCGCAGAAAGAGGCGGGAAGGCCGCGGCGCGGCCCAGCCGCTCCGCCGCGCACATGGCCGGCCGCAGCGCCCACCCCCGCTGCCGCGCAGGCGCCGGGCGAGCCGGGACTTGCGGTCGCCCAGAGCGGATCATTCCGCCGCTTTCTTTGTGTGGCCGAAGCGCTACAAATGACACATTTCCCCCTCTCCCCCGTGAAAAACAGAAAGCAGACCCTGTCGCCCCTTGTCTCCCGCCGGGGATGGGGTCGCGCGGTGGGCGGGAGCGGGGATCGGCTCACTACGGCAAGGGCGGAGAAGCTTCGGGCGAGGGCCGAGGAGGGCCGGGTCCGGGAGGGATGCTGGGAGCTTTGACTCACTCGCACACCATGTGTTCCTCCGCGCGCAGCACGGGGGACTTTTCGGTGGGGATTTTGGGCGCCGACCAGACGCGGCATTTTCGGAAAATAGCGCCCCGTGCAGCTGAAGCGCTTTGTGTGTAGCGGGGTAGCGTCAGCCCGGCCGGGTCCAAGGCGCCTCGGGTCCCCGCACCACCTCCTGCTGCTCCCCCGTCGCCGCTCCCGAAGCTTTTCCAGGTCAGTGCGGGTCTGTGTAGGGCCCTGTTACCACCGGATGTGGAAGTTGATCTCTTCGCTGGTAAAAAATAATTCCACTTCCCCCGGAACCCAGATCATCCCCGCGATTTCCTGTTTATTGCATTAAGGCGCCGGGTTTCCGGGGCTCCTGGCCCCGCGTATTCCGCGGGGGTCGGCGGGGTCGGCCTGGCCGCCCGCTCCGCCCGCGCCGCGCCGCGTTTGTCGGTGACACCGGCTTTGGGAGGGGGGGCGGAATGGAGGGGCCGCCGCCCTCCTCGGCGCGGGGGCGGGGGCTCCCTCCTTTCTGCGAAGGGGGTATCCGACGGAGGAACGGAACGGGGGGGGCCCGGCCCCTTTCCCCCTTTTTTTCGTTGGGGGAGGTCGGCATAGAACATTGAAAG